GCGTGTGTGTGTGTGTGTGTGTGTGTGTGTGTGTGTGTGTGTGTGTCCTTGTTTGAGGCATGCTTTGAGGTCTCATATATTCACAAACCATGAACAGTGTTTCAGTTAACTTTCTATTGCCTGAGGATCAATATGTAGGATGTCTGCCTTCACACTACCATGTTTCACCAAGACGATAAAGGACTAAACCCCTGAAACTGTATGGCATCCAATTAAATTTTTTCCTTTGTTAGTGTTGTTTTGGCCATTAGTGATGTCTTGGTCATCTCTTCACAGCAACAGAAATCCTCACTAACATGGAAGTTGGCTCCAAGTACTGGGATACTTCTGTGATAGGCCAGTTCACGGTTTTTGTTTGAAGGAATATATACTTTTCAACTGTGAATTAGGAAAGCATTTGAAAGCTTTAAGTGCTGCTTAATGGGCCATACCAGTAGGAGCATGGAAGACTGTGGAGCTTATTGTAAATTGATCTGTGAGTGACTCAATGAAGAGGTTTCAGAGGAGAGGAATATTAATATGTTGCCTAGAGACTAGTCATGTGATATTTAGGTGAAGAATGTAGCTGCTTTTTGCCTTTGCCTGAGGCTAAAGTGAGGACTTTTGGATTAATCCCTTTTGCAGAGTAAATCTCAAAACAGCTTAGTGTAGACTCCATCATGCAGGTATTAGGGGTAACTCTAATGAGGATTTATGATGAAAAGGAGCAAGCCAAGCAAGGAAAAATACAGGCTATACCACAATTTGAGTAGAAAGGGAACACCAGTAAGTGTTAAATCCTCTGTTTTAGGAGTAAACACATTAAGAAATAAAATAAAGGAAGTGGTGACCTTGGGGAAAGATCCCACTTAGTTAAGTTTCCAACATGTGAAAAAGAATTTTTAAAAAATCTTAGAGCCAGGTATAGTGGTGCAGGGCATTAACCCATCTCTAGAGAGGCAGAGGCTGGTGGATCATTGAGCTTCATACCAGCCCAGTCTACAAATTCCAGAGCAGCCAAGCACAGGCAGTGAAGGAAATCACAGAAAACAGAAAGCTAATTCAGACGTAATTGAACAAAAAGACCATGTTCCAGCCCCAGCAAGCAGAAGAACTTGGCAGCTTTGGCTACATGGTTCTGGCTTTAGAGTCAAAGTCTTCTGAAAGGCATTATGGAATCTCACTCCACAACTAAGAAAAGCCATTAAGGCCAGACATGTGTCAGGGGTGTGTCTGAATGGAGGCATATAGAGGTCATTGCATGAAGATGTGAATATGAATCCTGGATTGCCTAGAATAACCCAAGAGTTGGAGATGCTACAGCTGTGGGATAACTGCCCAGGCTGCTTATTGGGAGTAAAACCATCCCAAGAGAAAGAAGTATGGTGCGGTCAGCAAAGCTGAAAGGAATTGGATATCTGAATAGCATATTGACATCAAACATCGAGATGCAGAGTTTGGAGTATGCCCAGATTGTTTTTGATATTACTTTGGTCCAGTATTTTCTCACTCTGTTCTCTTCCCTGTATTTTGGATAGTAATGTGTATCCTGTGCCATTATATGTTGGAAGTATGTGGTCTGGTTTTTTATTTTGATGTTATTGGGAATTACAGTTAATAGATTGTATGAACCTCAGAAGCGTCTATGAACTTTGGACATTAAAACATTGTTGAGACTGTGATAGAATATGGGGAATTTTGAAGTTGGGCTAAATAAATTTTGCATTATGTTATTAATACAAGGTTATTGTGGCTGGGGCCAGAATGTGGTAAATTGATAGCAACTGGCACCCATATGTTCCTAGAGAGTGGCTTTGTTGGAGTAGGTATGGCCTTGCTGGAGAAAATGAGTCATTATGGAAGTGGGCTTTGAGGTCGCAGTGGGATCAAACCATACCCAGTGTCTCAGATCAATTCCCATTGTCTGTAGGATTGAGATGTAGCTCCTTATTCACTCTCAACTCCTTCTTCAGTGCCATGTGTGCCTGCATGCCACCATGTCTTTACATGATGATGCTAGTCTAAAGTTCTGAAGCTGTAAGCAAGGAATTATGTGTGTTCTTTGTAAGTGCTCATGGTGTGTCTTCACAGCCACAGAAACCCTAACAAAGGTGGTATGTTGTGTGTTAATTATCATCTGTTACTGTGTGGTTTTGTTATAGGGATGTTTGTACCTAGCAGGAGCTGAAACACACCTGTGTGTGAGGACTGTAGCTGTTTGAGAGGGTATACACAGCAGGAGCTAGCAACTACCCTATCATGTGATAGTAGCTCTTTGCATTTAGGAGAGAGGCTACTGTGCAGTACCTGACACCTAGCCATGTATGTGGACCTTAATTGGAAAGAAATGTAGTAGATTATGGAACTTGCCTTGTATAAATATGG